AGGATACTACTAATATAGATCTAAATTCTATGATAGCTAGGCTTTGCTATACCGGTAGTACAGTAATAAAGATACAGCTGTGTAACTTTAATGACTTCGCTATATTAACATATTATCATGAATATGCGTCGAGCGCATGCGTAGTGGTGGTGGTGGGGGACTCAGGGGGAGAGTGGGGGGAGGGGGCTCTAATAGCAAAAGCAGTTGCCGCGAGATGGCGCGTGCAAGTCTCATCAATAATCAAAGATGGCATCACCCTTCGTGCGTGATAACCTCACTCCATTGAGTTGCTGAAATCCAAGTATATTCAGGCAGGCGAGAATTTCGCTCAGCTGTGAGTTAAAACATCTGCATTGCAGGTTGCCAGGCAATAATTATGATTAGAATAGTGCCAGTTCACCCCCATGCATGCGTAATGGGTTGCCCCCATGTTTTTGCCTACCCACGCGAGCATTCAGGGTGCTACTCAGGGTGCTAATACAGACTGCTTTAGAAAATAATATGATTTAAGGAGCTTAAACCTTGTTCAACAAACATTGCCTTTGCAATTGAACTGTGCAACTGTAGCCTCACATCCACAATAGCAAAATCAGTTCAGTCCTTTGTTAACAGTCAACAGTCTTGAGGGTCAAAAGGTTATCCGACACTTACTCTTCGCATATCAGCAGAAAGTACATTCAGGTCCTTTCAAAAAAGCCATAAAAATGCTAGGTCACTGCTGAAACAAAAAAGTTTTTCAATCGCTCCGTCAGACCATTGTCCTCAGAAAATGTCTAAAAATCTGCCCTGTGCCCATTGACCTTTGACCTGTGACCTTCAATTTCGGCACAGTGATGGCGATCACGAGCCTAGGTCGAGCCGTTTAGATTTGTGCCGCAATTCTGCATTTCCTCCCTATACCTTAAGTTAAGGAGGGAATGTTCCCCCTTCTTTTACACCTCTCGACCTTTGACCTTTGACCCCCCAACTCGTTGTGACGATCCCCCCCCCCGACGTCCCGAATATCGTGACCGTACGTCAAGGGGTTAAGATTTGTGCCCAACTGTTGACGCACGAACGCACGACCGGACGCACGCACGAACGCACACTCATGCGATTCTACAAGCTGAATCTGAGCTAATAAATAAAGACGTACTCATACCAAACTTCTCAGCCATCGTCACCACTATTTGAACACAAATTGCCATATTAATTCAACTTACTGATTCAATGCCTTCTAAACATGAGACCAAGAAAATGTGAAAATATAATTTTGTGTAAATTTATATTTTTCATTAAAAAATCCCAATGGATTCATACACACCACTTGTTTGCATTGATTTGAGCTCCCTATATATTCCTTTTTATTTTATCCTGGTTATATTATCATGGTTTTATCTATGGTTTCGTGCAACATGCTTTAAATATTGATATATGCAGTGCTCGAAATAAGCGTTGTCCGAGATAACCAGAATTTTCGCCGGACAACCTAACCAGTCTGAGACATTGTCCGGTGGACAACCAAAAAAAATGTGACGAAAAATGCACTTTATTTATTTTTTTCTGACTGCGAATTGAATTTCTTTCGGCTGTCGATTGGCCTGCATTGCGTCCATAGCTAGTGTTGTTTCGCAGCTTCTCATTGGTCAGCAGTGCCGTGTAATATAGGTGCTTTGGCCAATAAGTATGCGTATCACAACTCACGTTCGTAGCGACAACAAATTTGACTGTGTGGACAAGTTTCATCGGCGAGTAAACAGGTAACTACTTATCGATCACTACAAACGTTTTTTCTGAAGAGACAAATGACTTTTTTGCTGGTAGATTTGTTGTGGCAGTGATGTAATCGAATCTGCCTGAGAGGTAAACATTGACTAACTGGACCGAGTGTGTCAGCGATAATAGAGGTATTCTATAGCTAGCCATGTCAAACCATTTTAAACTTATTAAAAATTAAAAATAAACCATGCAGTGAGTCAGTAAGTATAGCTGTTCCAGTTGTTAAGAATGATATCAATTTTGAAACCGACTTCTTAGAGTTGAGAAGAAAATTTTATTATTTTATACAAAACGGATTCTATTCAAATGACAATGATTAAAGGAGCTTAGGTTTGGATTCTAGACAAAGTTCTGTCTTCCATTGGCAATAGGCGTGTTCACACACAAGAAAAACCGCGATGCTAATCGCGATGGAAATACCGAGATAATTGTGTCGTTGTTCACACAGGCGGAAATATCTCGCTAATCGCCGAGCGGGATAATTCTAATTATCGAACTGCGCATGCTCACTGCCGGATGTTGATACGATCGCTTGGAATGATGGGATAGAAAATACCGGGATTATTTGCGCGAGCGTTCACACACACGCCGAGGTGCAAATAATCGCGCTAATTCCAAATAATCGCAGTCAAAAGTGCGATTTGGAGCGCGATACTGATCGCGATACTTAGTGAGATTTTTGCGTTCACACTTCTAACGTAATAATCTCGGTATTTCAATCGCGATGCAAAAACCGGGATTTGCATCCCGCTAATTCCCGCCAGTGTCAACGCGCCTATTGATTCAATGAGACCTGGAATACATTTTGCATCATATATTCAGTTGCAGTTCAATTTTTATTTAATGGGTATATAGCAAGAATTGTAGCCAATGTGATTTAGTATCCAGTCATATGAGTCAGTGTCACACTGCAATAATATTATTATACATCTGAATGATCTGATCATAAGTGAACCAATTGATATATATAATAATATTATTGCAGTATGATTCATTACGTATGAGTGAATACCCTGAAACCCGATATCTTGCATTTTTATAAACCAAAAATTTTTGCTAATGTCAAGACTCATGCAAAACTAGTCACGAGGACCGTCCTGATTCATGCAAAGTATTAAGTTTACAGGTTGAAATAAAATAAATTTAATGATATCGCTCCTACAGTAACTGTATGTTTTTGGGCAGTGGAGGGGGGGAGTGGGGATCCATGTTGATCCGAGAGTAAAAAAAAAGAGAATTGTCGTAGTCAGAATGAAGGCTGTACATGTACTCAAAAGTTCCACAAATACCATCTCCTGCGATCTACATTTTCAAAATTTCGAAGGGGAGGACCCCCATACCTCCCCCCGCCTGTTTTTCACACCCCCTCCTTGGAATCCTAGATCCGCCACTGAACAATTGCATATCTTGGGAGCAGAGAACAATGAACAAAAATGTCGCCTTTTCGCATGGCACCCAAAACAAAGATTGCAGAGCTGAGAGGTAGAGGAGCCGTAGGGTGTGGAGAGGGAGGCGGTGGAGCCATTAAAATATTAAGTCGTCCACTATTTTGCGCAGTTCGCTGTTTTTGGCCCCCCTTGTTAAAAAATCCTGTCTATGCCACTGTTTTTGGGTGTTTTCTGATATTATTATTACATGATATTATTACCTCCGCCAGGGGCTTGGCGGAGGTTATGTTTTCACCGGCGTGTGTTTGAGTGTTGGTTTGTGGGTTTGTGTATGCTCGCTGATTGGCTGATTGGCCCGCCGCCGCCGCCGCGCCGGAACCGCCTGTATCATACAGGTTAAGCCTAACTGAAAAAGTTATGGACGGATTGTCATAAAATTTTCAGGATGCGTCAGAAATGGGCTAACTTAGAATTGATGAGATTTTGGTGGTGATCCGGATCCAATTAATTATTTAATTAATTAATTAATTTTTCCACTTAATTAATTAATTAATTAATAAAAAATTTCGCATGGAGAGAATTCAGCTGCCTTGGCGGAGGTCTGTGCTCTCCGAGTGCTCTAGTTATACCATATTATTATGTGATTGAAAATAGGATATTTGGGGATATTTTTTGGGACAACCAGAAATTGTTGCGGACAACCTGATTTGATGCCTCAACCTGGCATTTTTTCCCTTGTCACGAGCATATGCTATTCGATTGCATACTGGCGTGCACATCTAGAATATTGCCAGTGATTCTCAAACATTACTTTGCATTTTTATTAAAACATGGGTACAACATTTGAAAATAACCGAAAACTTTCGTGATTTTATACAGCATATAACTGGACATAAATTCAGTCGTGTGCCAAATATTCAACCCCAATGTCCTGTATATCCAATGCTTACATGCTATTTCAAAATCATAAAATAGGTAAAAATATAGCCGCCTACTGCATGAGTAAGTCAAAGGAAAAACTAGCATATTTGAGTTTTGGACACATGTCATTTTACAATTATATTACATGAAATGTAAACGTTAAATACTAAAATGTCCACACATTTAAATGATTTATGTATTAAAATTATGTTACAAGCATACCAGATGTATAATTAGATCGATTCCTCTGATTCATTACATAACATACAGCTAAAGGCAGACAAGAAGCTATAGAGCATTTCAGGCGATACCCATAGTTTTCAACAGTACAATTCCATAGCTGTTCAAACGAAGATTTTTAACTCCATAACATTTCATCTGGCTAAACAAAATAGGAAATCCTGAATCGGAATGGAGAGAAGCCCTGTTTCTTTGCTTTTGAATTGCTGTTACAGCACCTTCAAAAACCAACCAAGAGGGTTGGCCCTATATGCGCCATAAGGCGCGAAGTGGATGGGTAACAAGTAAGACCTTCAAAAAGGTGTATACGAACAGAATTATGCAAATAATCTTGCTCAAATTTTACTGAATTTTGTTCATGTGAATATATGTACCCATACGTGCGTGTCTGCGTGCCTGTGTGTGAGTGCCCGTGTGCGAGTGTGTGACACACACACACACGTACGCACGTGCACATATATACAGGCACACACTCACACCTGGATATTATACAGACACCACTACCTTGTTGGTATTTCTTCAGAACCAAACAATACCAGACAGTTTCAGTGACGACTTTACTAATGTAGAACTCTGACATATTCAATAGTTTCCAGTGACTTTCTAATAGCATTAAATTCTGATAATAGTAACTTTTGCTGTCTGATTTATACTTTGCAATTCAGAACATACAGTACATATATAAAGACTCACCTATTTTGTTCCTTATATCTTGACACTGAGAAAAGTGTGGAAATTTAAGTATCTGTTTCCATTTCTTGCTTTTTCCCTTCCGTTTTCCACCACCTGCAATGTTAGCCAAATTATGTTAAAACAAACACTACCTCTATGTATATATATAATTTCCATTTCCAGTAGGATTCTACAGACAGCAATATGAACTGGATCGAGCACAGCATCTACTGCTAATAGCAGACTATAACAGTTAATACACAGTTATATGCATGCTGGCAACAGCAGTTACTTAGCATTTACAGCCTGCATCAACTAAACAGGTATATATATATATATATATATATACAGGGCTACCGCTGGCTTTCGCCACCTTTGCAAAATGCGACAAAAATAAATAACAGTGGCGATATAATTACGCTAAGTGGCGAATACAAAATGGCGAATGATTTAACTGTTCACAAAGTTACGTTTGAACAATGAAATCGTCAAATTGCAATGTCGTGCCGTAAAATATGTTTGTACACCTCTTTTCCCATACCCATCACCTGTTTATGCCCTGCTTAGCACATACGATAAAGTGAACGGTGGTTATAGTTTTTCATTGGTGGCTAAACAATAACTTTGGCGCCTCAAGTCTTGGCGCAAACTTTAGAACATCCAGAGGGAGCCCTGTATACAAAATAACATCATTACTGATGACATACATTTTACACAGTATGGAACTTGGCTCACCAGCCAGCTAATATGTAACAAACACAAATAGCTGACATCATACTGTTTATTATAGCAGTTCCTGCAAACTGTGTAAGGGCAGGTGACAACATCTTCAAATACGAAAACCTAGTGCCTCCATTTCAACAATAATGAAATCATTGGTGAAAGATTAGTGAAGATTCAATATATCCAAAGTTGCGCACGCACGCACGCACGCATGCACGTGCCTGCATACATTTTATTGCAACTGAAGTTTGTTTTTATTATACTGGGGCCCGTTGTCAGAAACATCGTAAAGTTAATGCTAATGTTAATGCTAAGATAACACTTACGACTAATGTTAATGTTACGAGAGTAGCGTTGACAGAAACACATCGCAGCTATTAGAAAACTTACGATAACAGGAACTTCATCACAAGGCTGCTGATTGGATGAGAATCGATCACAAAATTCAAATTAATACACATTTATTGTACATCACAGTAATTTATGCATATTATGATGGCTAACCACATATAAATAATATTTGATGAAAAACGACGTGGTCATGAATTTATTCTGCACAACAAGACAAATTCTCACACTGTAACGCGAGACGCGAGAGTCGTGACAACTGACAAGCGTGGCATTCCTTTAAAACAAGAGAACAAATGCCATACGCCATTTGTAAATGTATTGTTTTGTTTTATTAGCGGTAGATAATTAATGATTTTGACGTGTTTTTCAAGAAAAACACACATTTTATTCATTATTATAAAATATAATATCACTATAATTGTAATTCGTAGTGTAAATGTGTTATTTTCAACTTAATATTAAAGTTACGAGAGGGTCTGGGCTCTCGTAATGTTAAGAGAATATTTGCGAGGATTTTTCGTTCTCGTAACATTACGACGTTTCTGTCAACGGTTAACGAGTAGAAGTTAATGTTAAGACTAATGTTAAGACTAATTTTGTTTCTGACAACGGGCCCCTGGTCTACAGGAGCATGTAATTGAATGCACTGAATTAGTCACAATAGATGTTAAATCAAGAAAAAAAGTTATCAGGACATGACAGTTCAAACAAAATTCCATTTTAAAATGTAAATCAGTCTTCATTAGAAGGCACTTATATAATTTATAAAGATGACAAGGGTGAAAGCCATTATACACACACCACAAACTGATCACCAGCTGTTTGATGTACACAAACAGTGAATAACATACAAGTATGTATTTCATGCTATTTTAACACTAGTTAGTGATGTCCCGATGATCGATTATAATCGATTATTTTTTATTTTAAAATATTAAATCGCAACATGGACATGTATTGGTAGCGAAGTAGAAGTGCATCAGTGTGTAGTCCAGAGGATACCTTCATGAATCACTGTTAACATAGGTCCTGTCTGATTGCAGAGCGGAACTAGTGTACTTATAGACATGGACAAATTGGACAGTGTCTTTGTTTTGGTTTGACACTGTCCCACAGATGTTATCCGTAGATGAGATTCTACTCTCCGTATTGTTTGTTACATTATGTTGGAGAGGATATTCCATTGGCAGGACATTAACTCGGCTACACAGCCTACACTATTAGAACACAAACAACTTACTTACTATAATAAAGAACATGTCTTGATCATGTTTGTTTAAAACTTTTAATGTTTTAATAAAGGCATTTAAACCATTTCTTTTTAAATTGATTAAATACTGTATAGGAACAGACATTGATATACATACAGCAACCTTCACAGAGTTAATAGGCCTACATGATCATAAAACATGATAATATTGAATGCTATGTATAATTGTATATATACAAAGTAAGATTAAATTAAATCTATGCTATTATTAACCGATTATCCGATTATGATCGATAATCGATCGGTTAAGGGAAACCGATAATCGATTATGAAATTCCAGCCGATTCCCATCACTAATTAACACTACAATTATGCTTGGAAGATTATACCATTGCTGAATTCTTTTACTAATACCTGGATATGTTAAGAACGTTGAGTAGCACTAACAATTAAGCAACCAACTAATAAACCAGCTACTAATGTTTTGCTGGGAATAACGCAAGGATACATCATACACTGATACTTTCTCAACTTATTAATGCTTGACACTCGGCACTACTACAGTCTTCGCCAAAAGCGTCGGACCGTCGGACAAAACCGGTGATTTTTGCACGAGTCCGACAAGAAATTTGGCTTTACCAGACCGTGTGTCAGGTAACATTACACCAACTAATTACGCAGAGGCTACGGGTACGTCAGTACCACACACTATGCCTAACCCTAATATCCCTGCCTATGGCTATCTTATATACGCGTGTACCAAATTAATCGATGGTGTGGGAAAGCGATAGGAAGAGATTGGCTGTTATATGATAAAAGATAAGAAAATGATGACATGCGACGTGTGTGTGAACTATCATGGGAAGTTTATATTACTATCACTGATTATACCTGGATCACACAACTGGACAAGGCCAAAGGCCTAGAAATAGGTGAAACCTACATTAATGACAAAGCTGGCATTATCGAATGCATTGCTGATTGTACGCATCACGAAATGGATGAAAAAATAAACGATGCTAGCTTTTTCAGTTTTATCATGGACGGGTCAACAGACATAGCTGGTGATGAGCAGGAAAGCATATATGTTAGATATGTCCACAAACGAAAAGCAACAGAGATGTGAATGTGTTTTAATGTTTCAATATTTTTTTGGTCCAGTAACATATCATTCGGTCTGGTAAAAATCTATTTTTTACTGGACCGAATGTCCAGTAAAGGATTTTGTCTTTTGGCGAGGACTGCTACTATCCTGTGCAATTATGATAATAGTGCACTAACAGAACAAAATACATACAACACATGCTACCGTATTGTTACATTGTGATACAGGGACAGCCATGTATTGACTAATGCACCACCTGTTGGTGGATAAAGAAAGATTTCTCAGTTGGCACGCATGCAGCAAGCGTCAAGAGAACTGCCCGGAACAAAATTAATTGCACACATGGATGAGCTCTACGAACTGATTCAAAATTTCATACAGTTAGAACTAGAGTATATTTTACAACCAGATGCATAAAGTTAAATAATTACTGTATAATCAACAATTAATCTTTACACTGCTGATTGCATAAACTGCAACTAGACCTATATAATATATGCAAATACGTACTAACAGGGAGCAACCTGCACACGAGCTGTAGCTCAATGTATACATGTATAAGTAGATAGCATTGTACTGGTACAGACTTCGAGTCATCGTTAACTTTTTTATCATAAATGTGTTTATTATGAAATAAATGGGAAGTGTGTTAGATCCTGCACACAATCTACATACTAAACTACGCCACTTGTTATTAAACTGCCGATGAACTTCATTTTCTGTGCATGTGGCAGGCCTTTAATGTTGAAAATAATGAATAAAATTGTGGAGCAAAAATGGATTAGCTTAGCATTTTTCACCCAATAAATTCATACCTATGCATAAACTGCATACTCTGCCACCATGCTGCCGGATAAGATTTAAGAGGATGTGATATATGCTATTGGCCACAAGAAACGGCCCATTCCTATTTGACAACCCCAGGTTTAAAAACCCTAACCCTAACCTTAACCAAACTCACGACATGGGTGTGTAAACACTACTTGTACCCAAGAAACGATGGCCGAAATCTTTCTTTAACTTGTGCATAGGTGTAAGGTGAATCAGTATATATATACCAAGTTAAAACGTACATATTTTACCCAACTACTTTACTCTACAATGCAAGCCCTTCCCAATGCGGCATACTAACCCTAACCCTAACCCTCAGGCCAAAAACGGGCTTCAACGAACGACGGCTGCCGTACCTCCAGCCACTGCGTTATTTATACATTACACCATTGGGTGTGCAGAGTTCGTCACGATCAACGGTAACCTGTGACCTATGCAATATACAGTTACATCTCATTAACAACTCTTCTCGCTAAACGTAAATTTATTGGAGTTAATAGTAATACATATCCTACATCCCCACTGACATTGCGCACCGTACCGACTCGGTGACTGTCGGCGAAACATTACTTACTGTCTGCAGACTATTCAAACTTACCTTCTCTTGCTTTAAGATATACTGTGTTGGCCACAATATTTTCTAACTCCATTTGTGTACTGAAACTTTCACGTTTCACAATAAGAAATTCATTTTGAAATAAAATACATGCAAAATTCCTGGGTGCGGTGGTAGAATCCAAGATGGTGGCGTTTTGTAACGAGAATAATCATTCGTTGATACGGATGGTGACGTAAATCCCTTACCCCACCTTCAGGGAACTCGAAGGGCTGAATCCACTGAATCTATGGAAAATTGATCTGAGCCAATGCTGCACGGATGCGCTCTTGGCATGCTTAGGATGCTCACATTTAGTTTCTCATAGCAATTTACCCAATAAGTATTATGGGTGATAGCTATGCTGTGCGCATGCGTTAGGAGAGTACATGGGTCCATAGAAATCGCAGCATGGGTCATTTCCCGGGCCCCAGGCAACCCTCGCACATACTGTAGGTGTACGCGTGCGGCGTGAACGGCGAAGTACGAATACAGTTTGACTAGTCGGTAGTCAGTCCAAACCATGTCAGAAAGTTCTCGTTATAATATTGAGAGTTCTTCGCGGAATGAAGAGGTAATTATATATTTGTACACGGCCTGCGGCAACTGTAGGCCCTACGCGGGCTATACTAGTAGTACAAGGTCAAGTAGTAGTAGTAGTAGTAGTACTAGTAGTAGCCTACTAAACTAACACGAGACCAGTTATTTGTGTTGTTTCGGGAGCAGGCAGACTGAGAGCGTCGCATTTGCCATGTTTGATGTTATACCATGGCCATAGGGTCATCCCACGTGTGAAGTTATAGTATGGCACAAAAGGCTTTGAAGTTTAGGATCAGGGGTTCTTGGTCCATGGACCCAGTTGGGGTCCGTGTATGGACTTCAGGGGGTCCGTGAACCAGACAGATGCAAAACTTTGTTTATCATTATGTGCTTATGAGTTATGTGCATTTTTGGGGAAGGCTAGCATTCACCAGATTCGGAAAGGGGTCCATGACTCAAAAAAAGGTTAAGAACCACCTCTTTAGGTCATCATTCTAAAATTTCATGTCAATCCCCAAGGCGAAAACACGCATGATGAGGTACACAACATTTAGATTTACACTACCTGGTATATAATAAATTTTGTTATAGCCTTATGAAAATTGTTCACGGTTGCTTCACTTCGTCTCTGAAAAAGGCATTGAGTGTACTAATCTGCATGATTATACACGTAAGCTAGATGCCATTGCCATGTAGACAGCTAGAAATCATGAAAAGTACCATTGGCATTGGCCTTTTTGAGAAATTGTGCCATTTATCCAAGTCAGTTAGTCACGTGGTTATGGTGACGGGTCCGCCGTATTTGTCTTGTCTTCTTCTCGTGTCACTACACTACACTCGACCTAGCCACTGCAGCACACAGGACCTGGCACGGTGGTTGAAACCATCAAGGTCTCCAGGGCTAGTACAGGGCTCTGGTAATAGTGCAGATGGGGTCGTTGTCATATCAGGTACTACAGATATATGTACCCGAGGTAGTTTTAGGTTGTTTAGTATTATGTTTATATTTTTATATGAGGTATGTTTAGGTTTAGGGTTAGGGTCAGTGTTAGGGTTAGGGTACACTTCTGTAGTACAAGTCTGGTACACTTTGTGTATACATATATGTACCTCGGGTACATATCTGTAGTACCTGATACGACAACGACTCCTTGAGCGGTAATAGGGGGCATTCCAGGAGATGTCCTATGGTCTGGTCCTCTCCGCAGTCACATTCGATTGGGCCATCTTCAATGTATCTCCATTTCTGCATGAGTGCACCCTGCAACGACCAACTCCTGTCAAGGTGATTTAGGCATAGCCACGTCGGCCAGGTGGGAGGGGTTCCTGGGGGCTGATCGAGTGAAAGCTTATGTTGGCTTGTCTGAAGCTGCTTTGACTATAGGGCAATCCTGTAGTTTTGGAGGTTGCCATCCAGGGGTTGAACCGCGTGGATGAAACTGTGCCTGGACTTTAGTCACTTCTGTACTGTTTCAAATTCATGCTGGAAGAGGGGGTGGCAATGGTAATATTCTTGGTTATTCAGGTAGTTCCCTAAATTTCTCCAGTTGGGATGAAGCCATTCGTCTAACGTGTGGAGGAGCAATGCCACAGAGCAGGTAGAGGTTATCTACTCTGGTTGGTCTCAAACAGCCAGAAATGGCTCTGCAGGCAGTGTTCAGAACCGGGTCAATTTTTGCATCATGGGGTGACCTACTGCAGACAGGGCACGCATACTCAGCGGCAGAGTAGCACAGGGCGATAGCAGTGGTTCTAATTGATCCGGCGTCTGTTCCCCATTTTGTAGTGGCCAGCTTCTTCAGAATACTATTTTTGGCACCCACCTTGGCCTTTGTCTTGATGATGTGATCCTTGTAAATTAGAGAGAGGTTTAAAGTAACACCTGGGTAGACTGGGCTGTAGGTATGTGTCAAGCATTTCTCATATTTCCATTTGACTTTCACTCTTTCAGTTGGCGATTCGCATCCCTGTTCTTTAGGTGGAAGGCAAATTTGTATTTTCCTGGGATTGGCTCATAGATGGTTTGCAGTGTAGTAAGTGGTTAGGCCTGCGAGAGCATCGGTGATGGACCGTTCGGCTTCTTCAAAGGACTGTTTCTGTGAAGCAATTAATGCAGAGGTCATCTGCATAAAGGAAACTTCTGGTGTTTGGGTGTACTGGCTGGTCATTTGTGTATAGGTTAAAAAGCAGAGTGGCGCGCTGTAGGCACCGGAGTGCATACAGATATATAGAGCGGGATAACTTGGTCCAGGCCAAGTTATCCCGGGCATGGCCCTCCTTCATTCGAGGGGCCAAATTGGTGCGGGCCAGCGCGTATTTGGAGCGGGATAGCGTGTACACACTGCAAAAATTTGACGCGCGCCTGGCCCGGACTACTTTGTTGTGGTATCAAATTTGCAGTCTATACAGGGTATACTATATATCTTAGATCATCCTTCTGCTAATGAAGAAGGAATTCCACGACCTGTAGTCTATGGCTGAAAAGTTGTGTAGTCTAACAACTATGTAAGTGGATACATATGTAGTGGTGCCACCCGTGTTGCAAACAAACAATCATCCACCGTTTTATAATTTAAACATTTCTAGTAAATATTGAACCACAATTTTTAAATAGCACAATTTTAGCTTACCTTAACTCAAAATTTCCATTAAACTTACAGTTATCGTTTCCTTTTACTAGCATGCAGCACTATAACAGTTTTGCAAGTATCTGCTGTCATTCATGATATATTTTGAAGTGAGTTTGTTTAATTGCTCGTTAGTGACTTTGCATGTGCAGAAAACTTGGTGCTTTTTGCATTGATTGCCACCAAATAGGCACATTATGCAGGGGTAGAAATTAACTTTTGAACAAGCGAGTCCAACGAACTCCCTGCCCTCAAAAAGAGGGAGTCTGCGGCAAAATGAGGGAGTACGCAGTCTGCAGTTCAAAATTAAAGATATTAACAATAATTATATACGCATGTGCTTATTTTGAAGATTCATGCAGTTGCACGTCTGCCAAATTTTCTTTGGACATTTGCTGAAAATATACGGTAATTCAGCGAGGCCGTGCTCTGGAACGAACTATAGTTAGTATGGCAGAATTTTTAGGGAGTCACACGGACTCCTGCATATGTCAAATCAGGGAGTCCGACAGTAAATCTGGGAGTATTTGACTCTGGACTCCCGTTAATTTCGCATCCTGTTATGATGATCATGTGGCCCAACGTTCTTGGAGAGTGAGTTTGGAATTTTGTTTAGTATGTATCACGTATTTTACACGAACCATAATATTTATGATATTGGATAGATTGGTCTCTACATGATACATGGTTACTAACTGTTTTGTTTTAAAGATATAAATTTAGGGAAAATGGCAACATATTTATGTAGATTAACAACAATTGCAACGCTCAGGTGGTGCATCTCTGGAGGTATACACCATCTTTCCTACAGGCCAATAGATGATAATTACACATCATATCAATACTTACTAATCACAATTAAAAACCTTGCTTGCAAATTTTTTGTAGTTGCTCATGGTTTGTCATAAAAAATAAAAGTTATATGCAGTGTCGGAGTAAAGCACTTTATGTTCAGATTAAAATTCATGTATATTTTTCATCAAAGCAACACTAAATAGCATATTTAAACTTTAGAGGTAATATATAGTTGGAAAAATAGTCACGATATATATAGGGCATAAAGATTGAGAAATTTTATAGTGAGCAGAAGCAACCTGGAGGTATATCAAGAAAAAGCATTCTGAAATAGGAAGCATGCTATAATAATTAACTGTGTGGTAACTAGGTACATAACCATGTAGGATGTGGTGTCTTCTTATGGTGGACAAGCTTTTTTACTTTGAAATTGCCTCTCGGAGTTTGGTGTTATACACCAATATTTTCATCAGTTATATAATTATATATGGTATAGTGCTATACAGAATGAACTAATTATTTTATGTCTGTTGCTGCTCACACTAATTAATCATGTGACTGTCAGGAGGACATAACATCAAAATATATATGTATTTTCACTCCTGATAAGATGCCCTGCCTGTCACCCTAAGATAGTAATGTGCAAATAATATGCACTCTAGGTGACAATTATACTTCTGGCATTTTTATTGTTTTTTCTCTCTAATTGTAGATATATTCAATTGTGTATTTTATTTTGTTACAGTATTAATCCATTGACACAGCCAGGGGTCCAGCCCAGTGTTGGTTACTGTACAAGATGATCAGAGTATTTATTCCGAGTTTCCAACAAGTACACAGAGAGCCTGAAGGGAGAGGTTACACGGTCAGTTCATCAATGCTTTTCAAGGCTAAACGACGATAGTGCACATATATAACAATGACTACTTTAGAATATGACATGAACATGGCATTTTATGATATTCAACTGGCAGAAGTGGTTTGGTGGGGTCTTGAATGTTTGGTTCATAACTCTTGAATTGTTGTAATCATTATATATAATCACTACATTAAATCTATTAGTTAATGTAATGTGCTTCCGATATTTTCTATTTTCTAGGTATTTGTCATTGAAGTGTATGTATCAGGCCATTGCAACATTGTAGAAAAAAGATATAGTGAGCTCTTGGCTTTACACAAACAGGTATTTAATTTCTCTGAAATTTATAAACTGAATCAGAAGAGAGAAGATTGTACTAGATATGCAGTCATATGCTCCTAATGCAATATTTGGTGCAATTTTTCATAACTACATTTTCCTTGCAGTTACGCAAGACCATCAATACACCTGAATTTCCACCAAAGAAAGTTAGAAACTGGAGCTATAAAATTATAGAACAGCGCCGACAAAGCATAGAGGCATACTTGCAGGTATACAAGGATGTTAGTGAAGATGGGGCATGCGCCACAGCGTGTGTGAGATTTATATTACAGGCAAATGATTGTCGGATATATAGTTTTACTCTCTATAACTGCTCTTGCACTCGCCATACACTTGCTACTTATGAATCAGTTACACAGTAAATACATATATGTATGCCTAATAAATGTGGTAAAGGTGATAACATATATGTTGTTTAGAATGTGAACATATATATTGTCACAAAATTGTGATCACAAAGTGATAATAGTGCAGTTCTATGCGAGCTACGTAACTCTTAGATTAACACTTTTCCCTCTTGTGTCATGCTAATCCATAGTGAAAAAATTTGTAGATATTATTGATTTCTCAATTAATTATGCTGTGTTGTTCTAGAAAACAAGCTATAATAATGATTTGTAAATTGAATCAATTTTTATAATCATCATTGCAGTATGAAACCTTCTCCAATGACAATAATTGTTAAGGTGTTATAGCACTTTCAAATGTATATTAGCTCATCTTGTGACTTACAGTTTTATCATACACTTTTACAGGCTGTTGTGAAAAGCAACGTGCTTCCAAAATCACTGCTCAGTTTTCTTGAAATTGGTGACATCCGGTTTGATGACAGCTGTGGAAGCTATGAGTGAGTGAAGAAACTCAGAAATTTCAGATGGCTCATGACATTGTAATACTCTTAGTAATGGTAGGGGGATTCGTAGCAAGGTGAACATCTTCTTTCATCCACCTTCTCATGTCATTAAAAGACAGGAAATTTTACTCTCATAACTTAAGTCTAGTAATGTAGCTATAATGTTGAAAATATGCATTCATCACAATTTTAAGGAGAATGGGATGTGTTTTAAGTAACTTTTCACTCGGGTAAAACCTTGATTGTGGCTTTGAATTTAATTCAACACATCAGTTTTACCTTTAAAGGCATAATAAGCCCATTGATTATGCAATGTTGACGAATGCTAGAGTAACTGCATGGCACCTTGTGTAGTTAATAAGTACACGTGTATAACTTTATAGCCAAACGCATAGGGATGAGTATTGCGACCAAAAACCGTATTGCAATATATTGCAATACGACAAAACCGTATTGCAATATTTTCCAATACGTATTGGGAAGTGTATACCATGCATGATATAGTAACAATTTGATGGTTTTAAAATCATCATATATTGTATTATATGACATGATTTAATTTCTCATGTTTTTCTTGAGAAACAGAAGCACGGCAATGTTTTCCGCTGACAGTGCAGCCCTCTGTGCCGTAACAATGTCACCCGCTGTACTGAATACCCTCTCGGAAGGCACTGACGTAGCTGGAATACACAATACCCCTGCTGCATAATTGGCTAATACTGGATACTGAAACTGAAACAGTGGGTGCTCGCTTCAGCTTGTATCGCGCGCGCGCGGGCACTCAGGTGAGCATAGGCTATATATAGACTCCCTAGTTGCCGTGCTCTGTGCCTCGCGCACACGTCTGCCCCACTCTGCCCGCGCAGTAGTACCGCGCAGTGCTCCATGCAGTGGCCGCTTACCAGTAATACTGTATGCGTCGTGCACGCATTGTGCTTTCGTAATATATACACCGCCAGTGCATAATTTTCGAGCCCATTAACAATATAGACATAAAGGCAAGTGTCAAGTAATTTATTTCTTGTTATACCACCGTATCGTAAAATATCGATATCCGGAAGTTGTATCGCGATATATCGAGTTTTCAAAATATATTGCAATATACCGATATACCGGTATATCGTTACACCCCTACAAACGCATATTAGTTTGTCCAATATCACTGCTGGTTAGACTACAAACAAGACTTGAGATCGGTTGTTGATATGTATCAACGTATCATTTACGTGCCGTAAATGTCATCCAGGAGTCGAGTGATGACGTAAACATTTGTGCAGCCCGTATGTTTTGGACGCCAGATGAAATGGAGGTGTCAGCGGTGTAACCACAGCCACGGACTAAACATGGAAATGGAGTAAAACACACGTACTAATCACGGACGCACGAGGACAGCCCTGACAAAAAGTTCCTTATCACGAGCGTCCATGTTTACGAAATCACTGATGATAGCATTGCGTACGGCCGAGCATGCGTGCGAAAATGTCCGGTGCACTATAAATCTGTATCACACCTGCTTCGCCGGCAGCGGTTTGAAACTGTAAACAACTGATTTTTGGACTGCGGATTTCAATTAGACATTTCTTAGTAACCAGCAGTATTATTGGACAAACTAATACTCGTTTGGATGTAAGGTTATGTACTTATTAACTACAAAAGGTGCCAGTTACTCTAGCATTCGTCAACATTTCATAAGCAATGGGCTTATTATGCCTTTAAATGCATGAGTGAATGCGTTTCATGATTAGTGTTGTATTACGACAATTACTCAACCTCATGATACATGGTGGCTATTTGCCAAGGCTATACCAGATGAGGTTAAGAGCCTGAACCTGCAATTGAACCAAGAGAATATTCACTGACTAAGGCTTGAATAAATACTGATGTTTGAGGCTGCTTTCTTCCAAAGTCCATCAATAGACGAATCAAAGTAGTGTTCTATGCATGCATTTTGTGCCTGAAAATGTTTTTATCAGATAGACACAACGTGTAATATAAGCTGCTTTCAGCTCCAATGTTTACATCAGAGAAAAGCATGTCATGCTTTTGTGGACAGTCAAATTTACACAGCAACTCCAGAATGATCGAGTCTTATCTTAACAACAAGATAATACAATAGTGGGCATAATTTGTAGTTTTTAATAATATTTTTGTCATCATTAATTTTGCTATGCTAGCTTGTTTCATCTGTTATGTGCATATTAAATATGCATGTTTTGCTTCTAGAGATTATGTTTGTATACAAGTTTTGCTTGCACTGTATACTTCATTTCCATTATGTAAGGTCGCTCGATTGCATTGGGAGAGATTCCTGTAGCCACCAGCCAGTACTAGCTTTTGCTGAAGATGCTTACTTAGAGGACAAACCATTAACTGGTAATTTGCTTTTGGACAGATAGATGGCACTGCACAGTCTAATGAGCATTTACTTAGAATAATTGCGTTCGTGTGTATGTTTTATTGCCTTGATGGCTTCATATATCTTAATGAATAATGAACGTGGCAATCATAAAATAGTATGTAAAGTAATTTATAAAATTACACGTGTTCAAGAGCTATTTTCATACTTGATCACCTAATCTGTTAGAAATGCGCACTGTAAAGTAGTTCTTGCTGCACTAAATATATCCAAGGTAGACATAAAACTAATTAGGAAAATTGGTCAATTGATCGTCTTTCGCTTTCCTAGCATGGATGTCACACATTTTGTTTTGGATGTATACTTTTTCTGTGTTAAATAATGCAGTGCAGAGTATAGCTGGGTTTACACTATCAACTTGTAGTTGCAATTGAAAAGTTGACGAGTTGATAAACTTTTTCACGTGCTATAAACCTTTCTATCAAATGCTCAGCGCATTTACACTATCGACTGTGAAACGGTCAACCTTTCAACTTGAGCTTACAAGTGGGGTGATTGATATGCGTTCATGCATGTATAATTCGCGCCAGATAATAGCACGTGTGCCGATAAATAGTTGGGAAGTGTGAATTAATAGTTTCAACTAAAAGTTGGTAGTGTATACCCCAATTCAGGCACATATATACTGTACTGTCAGTTAGCACAGTCAGTAATTGGTTGTGGGAAAATATTTTACTGCTACCCAAACATGTCTGTACTTTAACGTCCACCAAAGATTCATTTACATGTTAGTAAGGAGTAGAAACATTGGCAAAGAGACGGTGGTGGCATTTCCTAGCTGTGTGGTATGCAATAATTTAGGTTTGATGGTGAGTGACATTTGTAGGGGTCTTGATGTGGACTGGTATATAAAAAATACAGAATGTGGTGTGCTCTTTTCTACTACAGGTATGCTTCCTGATCTTGTATCTGAAGGCGTATTCATGGGATTTTATGGCACATGCAGCAAAGAAATGGATGCTTTAGTTGGTTTGTCATCCTAATACATTCATCTGACTGCTGACTTGGAGAAAGATGGGATCCACTACCAATTTGCATGATCCATCATGTAAACTACATGCTTTGTAATAGAGAATATACTTGCTAATTAGTTGTGGGTCTCTACAAAAATTATTGTACCCATTTATATTTATGTTAGTTATTAAGTTTGTACTTTTCAAGGATGAAAATTGCAACCGTAGATTTGAATTGTTGACCTTAAATTTATCACTGGAATTATTTCAATGAGAGCCTTGCATGTTATGAACAAAGCTATCTAGCAGATTATTAACTCTGGTTTTGCTATATTTGCCATCAATTGAAATTATATTTTTAACATTATAAACTGCACTAGATGTATATTATCTGATAGGCATTAGATTATTATCTGCATTGTTTTTTTATGATTTGGGCATGGGAATCATTTTCTTATGTTAATTGCTGCTAGCTGTTCAGATAGGAATACCCTGTTTGTAATTTCTAAAATAAACATACTAAGAAATTGTTCTTGGGCTAAAAAGGGATTGGAAAGTGCTGTCAGCGATATTAGCAATGGCAATTAAATGGTCAGTGTTATGAGGAGCATCTACTCAATCTATACCACGTTGCTATTACTTCATTTATGTCATAGTAATCTATATAAAAATGGCTCGCACTAAATATTGTCTTGCCAGTAGTAACCAATATTAATTGCATGTTTCAGCTGTTCTCTGCTGAACCTATGTGCTCTGCTGTACAAAGTTGTGTTGTCACTATCTATTGGTTTAAATCTATGATCTGATGGGCTTCAAAGACAAGCATGAATTTATTATTTTATTATATAATTTTCATATTTCACGGTGTAATACTTGTGTAATATGTGGCTATCTATTATAACCATGAAAAGAAATGTGTATTTTTACAAATAGATATATATATATATATATATATATATAATTATATTCTAGAATGTAAATAATTTTGGTAATTGAGATGGGGTTTTCTGTAATATTATTATGTTTATTACCTAATCATTTATTGCGTGCGTGCGTGCGTGCGTGTGTGCGTGCGTACATTCGTGCAGGGACGCAAATCCATTTTTAAAATAAATGCGGGACGGCCTCTTCATTTTAAATTCATAATGTTTGCCGAAATATTCTTCTTCTCGGGAGATACTGCGCATGCGCGAGCACCGTTTCAGACGTGCAGTACGTCCAAAGGAAATGTACGTAAATATAGCTTGCTGAGGGGGAGACTGGGAGAGTGGTCGCAAACTGAGAGAAGGTGGCAGGGATGACAGCCGAGGGGCGGTGGAAGGAGAAGGAGGATGAGCGTGCGACAATGGATACAAAGGGAAGGGCGGAGGGGATAAAGTAGGAGTTTTGCACCCTACAGGTTAGGGCGCTCGCCTAACTATAAGCGCAGGTCTACTGATAAGAATTTATTGCAGAAACCTATGTTGAGATATCCCCTGACCATACTAAATGCGCTTTCATCGCAAAATGAAACTCCTCTGGTTAGATATTGCGCATGCGCTAAAATAGTAACGTAGCCAGTTTTGTACTTAATGGGATATGCAGCGGGAACCTTACATGCAAGGTCTGCTTCCTATTTCTGAAGTGAGGTCTACTGATAAAATTTTATCATATAGATCTATGCTAGGATAACCCTTCTTCATTTTAAATTCATAATGTTTGCAAAATATTCTTCTTCTCGGGAGATATTACGCATGCGCGGGCACCGTTTCGGACGTGCAGTATACGGCCAAAGGAAAAGTACGTAAATATAGCTTGCTGAGAGAGTGGGGTGGGAAACTGAGGGAAGCTGGCAGAGAAGACAGCCAAGGGGCGGTGGAAGGAGAAAGAGGCTGAGCGTGCGACAATGGATACAAAGGAAAGAGCGGCGGGGATAAAGTAGGAGTTTTGCACCCTATACAGGCTAGGGCGCTCGCCTAACTATAAACGCAGGTCTACTGATAAGAATTTATTACAGAAACCTATGTTGAGATATCCCCTGACCATACTAAATGCGTTTTCATCACAAAATGTAACTCCTCTGGTTAGATATTGCGCATGTGCTAAAACAGTAACGTAGCCAGATTTTGTACTTAATGGGGTATGCAGCGGGGACATTACATGCAAGGTCTGCTTCCTATTTCTGAAGTAAGGTCTAATGATGGAATGCTATTATAGAAATCTATGCTGGGATAACCCCTCTCCATTTTAAATTCATAATGTTTGCAAAATATTCTTATTCTCGGGAGATACTGCGCATGCACGAGCATAGCTTCAGACGTGCAGTACGGCCAAAAGAAATGTACGTAAATATAGCTTGCTGAGGGGGAGAGTGGTAGGAAACTGAAAGAAGGTTGCAGGGAAGACAGCCGAGGGGCGGTGGAAGGAGGAGGCTGAGCGTGCGACAATGGATACAAAGGGAAGGGCGGGCTGGGATAAAGTAGGCGTTTTGCACCCTACAGGCTAGGGCGCTTTCCTAACTATAAACACCGGTCAACTGATAAGATTTCATTACAGAAACCTATATGTTGAGATATCCCCTGACCATACTAAATGCGTTTTCATTACAAAATAAAACTCCGCTGGTGAGATATTGCGCATGCGCTAAAACAGTAACGTAGCCAGATTTTGTACTTAATGGGATATGCAGCGGGAACCTTACATGCAAGGTCTGCTTCCTATTTCTGAAGTGAGGTCTAATGATGAAATGCTATCATATAGATCTATGCTAGGATAACCCCTCTTCATTTTAAGTTCATAAGCTACGTCTACACGACGAACCTTAACTCGAGTTAAGGCCCGTGTAGACGCTTAACTCGAGTTAGCTTAACCTCCACGATAGGCGGCAGCACTAGTACGATGTACGTACACACGCACGCACGCACGCACGCGTACTTGCACACGCACGCACACACTCATGCACGCACGTGTACGTGCACACGCAGCACGCACGCACGTGTACGTGCACACGCATGCACGCACGCACGCCTACGTGCACATGCACACGCGCGAACGCACGCACGCACGCACGAACGTGTACCTGCACATGCGCGTACGCACGCACGTGTACTTGCACACGCACGCACACACTCATGCACGCACGTGTACATGCACACGCACGCACGCACGTGTACGTGCACCACACGGACGCACGCACGCACGCATGCACGCACGTGTACGTGCACACGCACGCACTCACGCAAGCACGCACATGTGCGTGCACACGCACGCACGCATGCACGCACGTGTACGTGCACACGCACGCACGCACGCACGAACGTGTACCTGCACACGAGCGCACGCACGCACGTGTATGTGCACATGCACGCACGGACGCATGCACGCACGTGTACGTGCACACACACGCACGCACGTGTACTTGCACACGCACGCACACGCGCACACATGCACGCACATGTACGCACTCACGCATGCACGCACGTGTACGTGCACACGCACGCACGCACGAACGCACGAACGTGTATCTGCGCACGCGCGCACGCACGCACGTGTACTTGCACACGCACGCACACACTCATGCACGCACGTGTACGTGCACATGTACGCACGCACACATGCACGCACATGTACGCACTCACGCATGCACTCACGTGTACGTGCACACGCACGCACGCACGCACAAACGCACGTGTACGTACACACGTACGCACGCACGTATACGTGCACACGCACGCACACACGCACACACGCACGCACGTTTACATACACACGCACACACGCACGCACGTTTACATACACACGCACGCACGCATGCATAATAAATCGGTAATAATCGCTATCGGGTGTTGTCGTGTAGACGCTACATAATCGCTAACTCGAGTTAACGCTTAACTCGAGTTAGCTTAACTCGTCGTGTAGACGAGGCTATAATGTTTGCAAAATAGTATTATTCTCGGGAGATAAAACAGTGAAACATATAAAACAGTAACGTAGCCTGATTTTGTACTTAATGGGATATGCAGCGGGAACCTTACATGCAAGGTCTGCTTCCTATTTCTGAAGTAAGGTCCAATGATGAAATTTTATCATAGATATATCTATGCTAGGATAACCCCTCTTCATTTTAAAT